TAAAACACTGGTATGACATGTACATGTGCGGAAGAGATATTTCCTTACAACCCTGGACTATGTTGGTAGGACCCATAAAGCATAGTGCTGAAATGGGGCCTGAACTTGTCCTCACAGAGGGATTTGTAATCTATGGACTAAGATCGCCTTCACTTATTGGCCGACTTTGATAGTTTAATTATAAACCCCTTCGAAGGTCTTTGGGTGAGGGGGACTATTGGGCTAGTTTGGGAAGGTGCAGTGAGATACGGTTTTTAAAAAGGATGAGTCCTCAATATTTTTGTTGTACTCATAACTCTATGGATCCTATTCCCATCAAATTTCTTTAAATATATTTTAATTATTTTTAGATAATTAAAAATAATTTTTTGGACCTCTCTGGGTATGTTATTTTATTCAATAATAATGTTTAAATAGAGAAAAATCAATTTCTGGATTTTTTTTAATTAGAGAAAAATAAATTATTTAATGATAATATAAAATTTATTTGATTATCTGAAAAGTAATTTTAATATATTGGGGGCCCATTGGATTTTATTGGGCCCTCCAATTATTGGGGTGTGGGGCCCACATGGCCACCCATGGGGTGGGGTGGCCCACCTCCTCGTATTCTTTCCTAAAATTGATTGATTTTAACTAAGCTACATGTTTTTTTTGAGACTGTTAACAATAGTATTGCTTGAGTAAAAAATGTACAAGTTTCGAACCTGAGAAGCCCCACAAGACGGGGCTCCCAGCAAAAATCTGTAAATCCAAAAAAAGGGTTTATAAAACCACCCCATTACAGTGTACAGCCATGAGTGAACAAAAATTGGGGCTTAACAAAAAACCACCTGATACATGGATGAGCAGAAAGCTTTGAAAACCATAATAACAGCTGCATGAGAATAGAACCGTCGGCCAAAAATGGTCCTACACAAAAAAGGAGGAGGACCAGGCCTAGTCTCCTTGATGCCTCCTAGCGCCGTTTCTCGCCAGTAGATCTGCGAATGCGTTCGACGTCCTTCAGGTATGCTGCCATAAGACGACTGTATCCCTGCAATAGTATTCGATCTCATCAACAATAGATGTTAAATACCATGGAGGAGCAGAGTTCCTTGCTGCTCAAGAGATGATATTAGTCGCATCTCCTTCTACTAAGAGGTGAGAGCCCCAATCGTGATTGATGCTTTTTAGGCCTGTGAGAAGAGCCAAAGCTTCTGCTGTTTGAGAATCTTGGTGCCCAAGGTACTCAGATAAGGCAAGGTGTATATTGCTGTCATGGTCTCTGAAAACACCACCTGCTCCTGCATGACCTGGGTTCCCAAGGGAGCAACCATCAAAATTGAGTTTGATGGTACCAGGCTCGGGAGGCTGCCAGTTGTTAGGTCTTTTTGGCTTCCTTGGTTGGTGGTAGATAATATTTTTCCATTGACTAAGAAACGTGATGGCGGAGATACCTGAGAAGAATCTTTGGTTGGAAGCCCAGAAAGTTACAAGGGATATAACCTTATGAAAGAGGGTAGAAGGTAGAAGAGTTTGCCCTTGGAAGATTTTGCGATTTCTTTCAATCCAAATGACCCAAATGGTAGCAGCTACTGTTGCCTTCCAAAGAGTCCTTCTAGCTTTCGGCCAATGGGCCGGGAAGTTAGTGGAAATTAAGGCCTTGGTGTTCTGTGGAGTAGCTCATTGAATCCCAAACTGTTGCAGCAAGAGAGTCCAAAGGTGAAAAGCTGTCTTGCAATGGATAAAACGATGAGGATTGGATTCTTCCTTAGTGCAGCACATCACACACCTATTGGTCAAGGAGTGGCCTCTCTTTTGTAAATGGTCGACTGTAGGTGCCCTTTGAGACGAGGCTATCCAATTGAACATTTGAACCTTTGGTGGGGCTATGGTGGACCAGGTTTTGGACAGAACCGAGATGGGATTCAATGGAAAAGTGGGAGGTTGGATTAGTCTCCTATAGAAGGAAGAGATCGTGAAATTTCCTGAAGGGGAGATAGACCAGATAAGGGAATCTACTCCCGTGGAGCAAAAGAAGGTTGATTCAAGGGTCGCTAGAAGCGACAAAAAGTGACAAGTCTCTTCATTAGAGAGAGCCCTTCTGAAAGAAGGACTCCAGATTCTTCTCTTTCCTTAGGTGACCAATTCCTTTGCAACCGTGGATTTCTTGTTGAATACTAGTGAGAAGAGAGAGGGGTATTGGTCTCTTAGAGGAGTATGGCCTACCTAGAGAGTTGACTAGAACTTAATCCTCATGCCTTGTCTAGGGTAAAATTGAATAAACTTTTTGAAGAGAGAAAGAGTAGAAGTTAGAGACTTCCATGCTCCAGAGGCATTATTGACTTTCTGTCTAATTTGCACCCAGTCGGTTTGTGACAACTGGCATTTGTTTCGCACCACCCGGGCCCATAAAGAGTCTGGTTGAGTAGTCAAGTGCCACCACCATTTGCCCAAAAGAGCATGGTTATGTTTCTTGAGGTTTCTAATCCCCAGTCCTCCTTGGGTTTTTGGTAGGCAGATCGTATCTCAGGAAATGAGGTGGTATTTGTTTTTCTCTTCTTGTCCCAACCAAAGAAAGTTGCGCATAAGCTGTTCTAAGCGAAGCACCACCGAACTGGGTACTTGAAAAAGGGACATAACGTAGACTAGCGTGTTGGCCAGAGTCGCTTTGATAGAGTTGCCCGATTTGCCACAAAAAGGTAGCATCCTTTCCAGCCAGCCACATGTTCCAGCCAGCCACATGAGGTAGTGTCCTTTCCAGAGTTGCTTTAATTAAGCCACATGTTCACTCGAGAATTTTAGGAAAGTGTGGTCTAGAGATTTTGATTGATTTCAAAAAGGAAATGTGTAAGAATTAATTAATATTGATTTAGTACTTTGTTTGCATTCTATTTTGATGGGAATAGAGTTATGGAAACTGAGGGATAATGGTTCACCTCATTCCTTTAATCATGATGGCTGATCTAAGGGATGAATGGATGAGATCTCTTCACCCCACAGGTCTCCAAGATCAAAGGTCAAGATTAAGTCTCATAATGATGGCAAAACTTTAACCTTAGAAACCTTAGCTTTTATTCTAAATAACCTAGCTAGGTGGGGGCTCATTCTCTACACACTTGATCTCTAATCTCTCTCTATTTCTCTCTCTATATTAGCGTTTACGAAGGATGAAAAACCCTAAGTGGGGGGCATACCCAAGCCACAACACCCTAGTCTTCTAGTCAACCTTATACTCGTGTGTTGAGCTTTGGTCTAGGGTATCCCATGTCATGCTCTCTGTTGGTTTTGCCTAGGCTTCTCAAGTTGTGAGACAAGTTCTTGAACCTAGATCTTATGCGCTATTGGTGGAGGAGACCCGGCATGGGGTGTGCTAAGTCCTTAGGCGTAACCTAAAGCAAGGTATACGATATTTCCTGGTTTATGCTTTTTTGATTCAATTGCATCTTTTATATAATTTTCAGATCTACATTATAAATGTAATTTTGTTTTAATGGTAAGCAAGAGTCCTTGATAGTTTATTTATTTCATAAGTATTGTATTTGGACACTTGTGAGTGATTCAGCTAGCAATACAAAAGGAAAGATAGAAATTTTTTAATAGGTATTGAGTTTTCCTGTCACATAGTCCACCTTTCACCCTATCTGGATGCCATTTGGGCCTTAAGCCTTTTGAGTATTGGGAGTGTCTATATGTATATATGTATATACATATATTTATGTATGTATGTATATGTATACATGCATCTCTATGTATGTATATATATCCATACATATATACATACATAGATGTATGTATGTACATATCTACATATAGACACTCCCAATGTTCAAAAGGGTATGTGTGTGTGTATGGCAGTCAGATTATTGAACATTGGGTGTCTATATTTCAAGTATGTGTCCTATCTTGATTTCAAAAAATGGCTCCACCGAAAATTCATCCCTAGACCTCTTGAGGTCAAAAGGTACGTCTGCCATTACTATTTAAGATTTTGTGGTATGTTGTTAAGTTTATTATATCTAGAAGCCGAAAACAAAATAAATTGCTTTGGGCAAAAACTAACTAGAAAATTATCAAAGAACTACCCATACCAAAAATAATTAAGCAGCAGTTTGTTTATTTCATCTTAAACATAAACAATCATATTTTCAAATTTTATATATTTAATTTAAACATGATAACTCTATCATATGCATATGTAATAATTTGAAAAATTAAGCTAGTGGTTAATGATAAATTCAAAAAATAAAACTTGATATATATACATTGAAGATTGAAGATTGAATATGTGATATATTGCTTTTAGTTTTATTTTCTTTTTATTTTAATAATTTACTTTAGGATTTGTGAGCTACTAACCATAAATCACGCAGTGACTATAAAAATTAAGAGTAACTAAAATAGAGTGAAATTTGGATTAGAAATACACTAGTTAGCTATAATATTAGTAATTAAGTTTTGTTTTGGACAAAACTATGGAACAAGGTATAAAATAAAAAGAACACTGGACTATTTGGATATATTACCTTGTTTTGTTTTTAGAGGATGCTCCAAAATATGTACAGTTGGAATCCTGAAAATTAATATTTTACATTTTTATTGTACATATTAATTTTTTATTTCTTTAACTTTCATGTGAAATATACATACACAAATATATTCATATTCATAAAAAAATGTATTATATTAAAATAATGTATTATATTAAAATAATGTATTATATTAAAATATTTTATGACAAATTACTTCTATAGTTGCTTTGGGCCGTGCTTGCATTTTAGGTCGAAATACTAGACACTTGAGACATGTACTGGACACAACATCTTTGTAAGTGTCCATGTGATATTGGGTGTGGTCCCCTGCCCCCCATTCATGTCATAACCTCAACTTTGGGGTGATTTGCTGCCCCATATTCGTAACTTCATTTTTGTTTCTTAATTGTCTTATGCAATTGTCACAAGTACAAGTAGCATGTCCGACTGATCATCGCTTTTTCATTTGTGTTTTGGCTTTTGCAGCAGAATGGCTTTTGGTTCCTTCTGAAGGGATAAAAAGGTTCTTGCGTTACCATGCATAAGAAGTGCTTCCGTGGTTTATGAAATGAACTAATAATATCTATATTTTGTTTATTGAAAATGCAGATTTGGAGAAGAAATGAGGCCTGTGAAATTGACCACACGTGTCTATGGTATATTCCACACCCTGGCCTATTGCTTTATATTATGAGTTTGGGAAAAAAGTGCAGGTTCTGTTTCTTTTGTTAATGCTAATATGCAAATGCTATTAGATATAGTTCCAAGCAAGATGAATACTTACTAAGGCATTTTCCCTGTTGCATAGATAATCATTGTAGGACTTGTATAGATTTAATTGCTTTTGAGGATTGTAGTTTTTAGTAATTTATATGCCAAGCATTTTCCCTTGACTTAACTAAGGCATTTTCCCTATTGCATAGTTAATAAGAGATAAGATGGTCCAATATGTGGGGAGGTGGTTGTTCCAAGCGGGCATTTCTTTTAATGATGCTAACTTGAGTAGCTTCCAGATTATGTAGGAAGCAATGGGTCAGTTTGGGATAGGGTTGAAAACTCCACCTTCTTATGAGCTTAAAGGGCCAATACTTAGAAAAGAAGTGGAGAAGTGGAGCTAACTATTAACTATTTGAAGACCCACATGGATATGTGGGGTGTATATAGTTCCACAGTCATGACAGATGGTTGAAGTGATAAAAGGAATAGAAGCATCATGAATTTGATGGTGAATTGACCATGAGACAATATTCTTGAGGTCTATTGATGCTTTTGACAAGTCTCACGATGCAGAATTTCATTTTTAATTTGGTTGATCAGTTCCTAGAGGAGATAGGGGAGGATAAAGTGCTCCAAGTCGTGATCGATATGTATTTAGCTAATATGGTGGTCGCTAGGTTATTGATGGACAAAAGTTCATATATTTTTTGGTCCCCTTGTGTAGCACATTGCATAGACCTCATGCTTGAGGCCATTGGTTAAAAGAAAATTACATCCATCATGTAGAACTGAAAATTACATAATGAAGCAATACAAGCAACAAAAAAACGAAATGTGAAATACTGCATACCTTGCCTTAAGTTACCTTCAAGGCCTTTGTGCAACCTAAACCAGGTCTCCTCCACCGATGGCGCACGGGATCTTTGGTTCAAGAACATACCTCACAATTAGGGAAGCCTTAACAAAACCCTTAGAGAGCTTCACATGGGATTTCCTTGACCAAAGCTCAACACATGAGCATGAGGCAAGGACCTAGGGCTAAGGCTTGTGTGGTTTGGGCGTGCCACCTCTTAGGGTTAACTCTTTCCTAAATCCTAATTTGGATGAGAGAAGAAGGGAGAGGAGGCTTCAGTGGGGCGTGCCCCCTTTGGTTCCTTAGAGAGAGATTGAGAGATTTTGAAATAGAACCCCCATAGCCAGTATCTATAGACAAGAGGCTAGGGTTCTAGGGTTAAGGTTTTGCGATCATCATGAAGTTTAATCTTGACTTTTGATTTTGAAAACCTATGGGGGTGAAGAATTTTCAACCATTCATTTCCTAAATCAGCCATCATGATTAAAGGAATGATGTGGAACTTTATCCCTCAGTTTTTATAGCTTCATTCTCATCAAATATTTTGCGTAGAGAAAGTAATCAATCAATCAAAATTAATTTCTTACACATTCCTATTTTGAAATCAATCAAAATCAATTCTTACACCATCCCATTTTGAAATCAATCATAATTAATTTCTTACACCTTCCTATTTTGAAATCAATTAAAATCTCTACACAAAAAGGTTTCTTAAAATATCAAGTCAACATATGGCATAGTTGTCATCTTTCAATTTAGGAAGTATGGAGGAGGTGGGTGGCCATGTGGGCCTCACACCCCCACGATATGGTGGGGCCCAATGAACCCAATAGGCCCCCCCAATACCTTAAACATAATTTTTAGATAATAAAATAATTTTTTATAAAACCTCCAAATATTTTCTTTTTCTTTTTGATTAAGATAAACTCAAGAAATTGATTTTCTCTATTTAAAAATCATATTTCAATAAAATAAAATACGTAATGAGGTCTAAAAATTCATTTTAATTATATGAAAAATAATTAAAACATATCTAAGAAAGTTTGATGGGAATTGGATCCATAGAGTTAGGATTACGATAAATACACTGAAGACTCCATCCTCTCTAGAGACCGCATCTCACTGCACCTTCTCAAGTTGACCCAATCGATCCCGTGACCCACAACCCATCGTAGGGGTTCATGATTGGACTATCAAAGTCAGTCAATAAGTGGAAGAGATACGATCCTAGACCTTGGATTACATGTCTTTCCCTAAGGACAAGTCCATGACCCATTTCAGCAGTATGCTCCATTGTTCCTTCTAATACAGTCCAGTGTTACAGGGAGTCATCTCTTCCACACATGTACACATCACACACCTTATCCAAAGGGTCATTTTCTGGATGGCTATCTAGTGTATATGCTGTGTGATAGTAATGATAATGATTTAGGCTCTTGTCCTCTTAGGCCGTCCATCACACACAAGGGTGAAATCCATGTCTCCTAGCCAACTGTCTTGGGCACATCTCCAACCTCATCTAGGGATAACCCCACATCTAAACCCTTATTGGTTGTGCTTTCACGATGCCTACGACTACAGGTTTTGGACTTCACATTGACTCATAGCCAATCAAAACTCATTTGAGTCAAAGCATTATCAATGCCCTACAGTCCAAGTTGGGCTATATTCCCACTAGAGTCAACAATTCATTATATTTTTTCAGTACATGCTCTCATAAGCCCTTTAAATGGCCACAAAACCCCAACACTTATATCACCTTTGAGGTAGTGAGGAGTTGTCTAATGACATTAAAATCTCCTTCATCAGCCTCAATTTCAGCAACGTCTTGCTCATTTACCCTTACCTGCTCCTCATCCAATACTGGTCCCATGACAAAGTCTTCTTCATTTGCATCATCCCCATCTAGGAGATGTGTTCTAGCTTGTCATTTCTGACACTCATACAATCGGTGGCCAACCTCACCACATTTATAACGCTTTACACCTTGTACTCTGTTTTGGAGAGGCCTATTGGCAGCTGGTGCTTTGCCCTTAGATGCCTCATTTGGGTGTGAACTGGACCTAACTTCTTGTGGATTTTGATTTGCAACTTGTACCCTTTCAACTATGGTTGATTTCCAACCACTAGTTTGACTATTTTTCATTTTGGTTTCAGATTTTTAAGGCCATTTGATGAGCATAATCAAGACTGAAAATCCAATGTAGAATGAGTTTGTTTGGAATATGAGGTTTCAGTCTACTCACATACCTTGCAACGAGCTGGTCATTGATTTTATTGACCTCATTCGGCTCATAAGGAGGAAGAATTCATCTGTATACTCTTGGAGATCCACTTTTGCCGCAAATGATGGAATCATTGGTACAATTGTTGCGCATTACAAAGGGTAGGAATTTCTTCTTAAGACGACTTTATTATCCTCCAAGTCGCTATATTTTCTGTCCCCTTTCACACTCGACTTGCTGGCACCTGCTGCCACCATATTTGGGCATGCCCCTTGAGTTGGGCAGCAACACATTTGACCTTCCTTTCTTCTGGGAAATCTTTCCACTTGAAGAAGGTCTCCACTGTCTAACCAAATCCAAGAACTCATCCGGCTGAAATTTTACTGAAAATTCAGGGACATCCACTATCACTTCTTGATCCGGTTAGGGCATGAAACCAACCTATCCTCTAATGAAAGGTTCTCCCTTCATTTGTACTTTCTTCACTAACTCTCCATTGAAGTGAGCAAGTCGACCCACCAATTACTCCATTTCATTAAACCTCCTCAGTAATTCTTCGTATTCTGCCCTTGGCACAACACCACCTCCTCTCATCAGCCTCCTTGTCCTCCTCTATTGGGCATAGATCAGAGAGAAAATTGAGATAAATAGCTCAAAATTAGGTATAAAACAAGGGAACTTAACTGATGCAAAAGGAGTCCAGGAAATTAAATTCGGTATTCTTTTGATCTTAAACAAGCAAAAATTCAACAATAATAGAGGGAAAAATATTGTAAATCAAGCCATGGAGAAGAAGCTATCTTTCTTTATTCATAAACAATTCTCTACAAAAATATTCCAGCCCCTATTAATTGGGATGTCACCCCTCTTAAATACAAAAATAAAAAAAACTAAACGAAAATATCTTTCTACAACCCATGTCTCTCTCTCTCTCTCTCTCTCTCTCTCTCTCTCTCT